TTATCTTTATGCATTTACAAAATTATTTCTTTTTTGGTTTGTATCACCGGTAAAATGAGTAAATTCTAGACACTTCTCCATGTTTTCCTTTCCTAGAAGAACGTAAATGCCGGGTACGTACATACGTACGTACGTTATGTTGGTTTTTTTTTGATACAGTTAATAGTTTTATTAAATATCAAAAATTTATGTAATATGTATATCAATATGTAAGTGTTATTTATTCAAAAAAAAAAATAAAAATTAGGATTATCGTTGTGCATTTTTATTTCTTTTCTGATTCAAAAAGGTTAAAAAGGTTAAAAACAAGGGCGACTTTGAAGGAATGAATAAAGTTGTTGGATATGATTATGAAAATGGAATCAGTTTTGAAAGAGATGATGACAAGGCATTCAAATACTATTATAAAGCTGCAGAGTTAGGTAACGCTGAAGGAATGCGTAAAGTTGGATATTATTACGAAACTGGAATCCGTGTTGAAAAAGATAAATACAGGGCATTCGAATACTATTATAGAGCTGCAGAGATGGGTGATGTTGAAGGAATAAGGAAAGTTGGAGATTGTTATGAAAATGAAATCGGTGTTGAAAAAGATGAAATCAAGGCATTCGAATACTATCGTAAAGCTGCATATTGTTATGAAGAAGGGATTGGCACCATAAAAGATGTATACAAGGCATTCAAATACTATTATAAAGTTGCAGAGATAGGTGATGTTGAAGGAATGCGTAAAGTTGGATATTATTATGAAAAAGGAATTGGTGTTGAAAAAGATAAAAACAAGGCATTCGAATACTATTATAAAACTGCATATTGTTATGAAGAAGGAATCGGTGTTGCAAAAGATGAAAATAAAGCATTCGAATACTATCATAAAATTGCAGAGATGGATGTCTCTGAAGGAATGGGAGTTGGATATTGTTATGAAAATGGAATTGGTGTCATGAGAAATAAACACAAGGCATTCGAATATTATTATAAAGCTGCAGAGATGGGTAACGTTAAAGGAATGTATAAAGTTTGATATTGCTATGAAAATGGAATCGGTGTTGAAAAAGATGAAAATAAGGCATTCGGATATTACATAAAATCAGCTGAATTTGGTGATCTCTATGGAAAGAATGCAATTGAAAATAAATATCAAATAGCATGGATTCCTTACAGTGAATTCAAAACCGTTGAAGAAATAGGAAAAGGTGGCTCCGCAACTATATATCACGCTAAATGGGGATTTGGTGTTGCACTTAAATTACTTCATGAATCACAAAGTCGATTCCAAAGTTTTATAAATGAGGTAATATATTAATACAATAATGTTCTTTAAGCAATATATATTAACTAATGTATTTTATTATAGTTACTAGCTTATTGTGAAATTGGAAAAAAAAATCCTTTATTTTTAAGATGCCACGGGATATCCCGAAACAAAGATTATATCCTTGTTTTAGATTATGCAATTATGGGCTCTTTACGTAATAATCTTTCTAAAGTATCACAAATGGCATGGAAAGATAAACTAAGTTTGTTATATTTAATTGCTTCCGATCTTCAATCTGTTCATTCTCTAGATCTTGTTCATCGAGATTTGCATAGTGGTAATGTTTTGCAAAATGCATTTTATAATGCATATATTGCAGATTTAGGTCTTTCAATACCTAGTGAGACAAACCAAGATAAAATTTATGGTGTTTTACCTTATGTTGCTCCAGAAGTTTTGAAAGGAAAATTATATACTAAAGCATCTGATATTTATAGTTTTGGTATCATCATGGCAGAAATATCAACTGGTCAGAGAACTTTTGACGGAATTCCGTTCAATATTGATCTTGCGATCAAGATTTGCCGTGGATTTCGACCTAAATGTGCTGAAGGAACTCCTGATTGTTATATTAAATTAGTTATAAAGTGCATAAACTCGGATCCTAATGAACGACCTAATGCTGAAATAATTAAACTTAAAATTAAAGATTGGCTTCGTGAAATAAGGTTAGTTGAGGAAAATGAAATCAAAAGACAGTTTTTAGACTCTGATAAAATAATTAAGACATTACCAGTTAATGTACCAAAACACCCTAATCATATGTACACAAGCAAACTTATCGATACACTAAAAATATCAGAAGCATTAGACTCTAAAATGAACGAGCTTACAATTCCTACTAATGTTGAAAATCTTTAATTTGTTTTTTAAATTTATGTTGTTTAGTTGGATTTTATGATCCAAAATTATTATTATTTTGTGTAATTTTTTGCTTAAAACTAAGAATTTATTCTAATATTAATATTATAATCCCCCGATCACTATTCAAGATTACGGGAGGATTATTATTACTAATAAACTGAATTATTCACATATGTATTAAATGATGTTTTAGAAGAAAATAAACCTTTTAACTTTATAACTTTTGATTAGCTGAGTTATCGCTTGTATGGCATATTATAGTATTAATATCAAGAGTTTTTAACGATCCATCAATTATAGTTTAATGACTAGAACATATGTCATCGAAACAATGGAAAACATACCTTTAATTTCAAATGATACACCGATCAAGTTTGTCAGGAACTAAGCCAGCAAGTAATAGGCTTAAAAGACAGGTCTTTTGTCAACACTCAAATATATCAATATTTTTGAATCCCATGATCATCTAATTTGAACCGTAAAATTAGTTTGGGCCAATAGATTCGGTCTAAGCCTGATGATTCAACTTTTTCTTTAACGTTTCATTAATATGTAAAGTTAATTCTAAATGTTACATAATTAATTAGCCTAAAAACTTCGGAGTTTTTTTTAGTCCGAATTGGAACACTTTTCCTGGATTACTTGTGATAACATCATGAAGATGTCTAGTAATGATAATTAAATGCCCTGTGATTCAGTGAACTTGGAAGATGCCAAAAAGCTTTTAAAGTTATGCACAAATTAACGCTCTCCGTCTTTTACAAGTATGTAAGTATGTACGTACGTAATTTAAACCTGAAAATGTAATCAGAAAAGAAATATTATATTACTTTGAGAAAAAAGCATTTTATAAATATTATTTATTTTTTCTAACATGGTTTTTTCATCCTTAATATTTCTATGAAAGTTTATATAAAAACAAAATAAAAATGATTGAATAACATTAACTAAAGCTTATGATTTCAAGCTGATAAAGTTCTAAAATTTGTGAGTTACGAATGATTTATTATGTTGAGATATGTCATGTTTGGACAGAAATACTTAAGTGTTTTAGTAATAATGAATCTTTCCAAATTTCATTATTCGCTGATTCAAATTTTAATCGTTATAGGAATATGCCAAACTTTTCAAAAGTGAATGCTATAGTCTGCACATCAACTGCGCAATCAACTATCTCTAAAGTGCCGATTTTATAATCTAATAATTTCAACATTTCATATTGCAATACCTAATACGAAGTGTCTCTAAATTTTTACAATTTTTTAGTACTTCGAACTCTGCATTATAACCACAACTTTCTATTATAATTTCTTGTAGTGAGTTTTTTTGGCACTCTAAAGCCGAAATGATGTCATAGAACTCTGTAGGATATTCGTCTCCAAATAAGCTAAATATCCTAAATTGCTCTTGTGATTTAATAATGCGTATAATAGCATAAAATAGAGCTGTTGCACTTTGCAAGAACACTTCTTTAACGTATTTGAATATTTCTTTGAATAATCTTGAATTAGAAGTAGGAAAAGCATTAACTGATCCACTTTGCATGAACGCTTCATTATCAACGTTGAAGCTCCATGATAATAATATCGGATACGAAGGAGGAAAAGCATTAGCTGATACACTCTGTAAGAACACCTCCTTAACAACGTTAAATCTCTATGATAATAATCTTGGATCAGATGGAGGAAAAGCATTGGCAGATGCCCTTTGCAAGAACACCTCCTTAACAATGTTAGATCTCTATAAAAATAATCTCGGATCTGAAGGAGGAAAAGCATTAGCTGATGCACTTTGCAAGAACACCTCCCTAACAGCGTTAAATCTTAAGGAGAATAATCTTGGATCAGAAGTAGGAAAAGCATTAGCTGATGCACTTAGCAAAAACATCTCATTAACTTCTTTGAATATTTCTTGGAATAATCTTGGATCCGAAGGAGGAAAAACATTAACTGGTGCACTTTGCAAGAATACCTCCTTAACAACGTTGAATCTCCATATTAATAATCTTGGATTCGAAGGAGGAAAAGCATTAGCTGATGTGCTTTGCAAGAACACTTCCTTAACCTCTTTGGATATTAATTAATCGATATTATTAATAATCGCTTGAATTATTTAGTTAAATCTCTAAATACTGCATTTACCCATTTATTACCAGTTCGCCTGCTATTACATTGTAATGAGGCTAAGTATACCATTCTCAAAAGAGGCGTGGATTTGGACGATAAGCAGTTTATTAGTTACGTAGGACTTGTGTTTACATACGAGTAAATGTTATATTTATAAAACCGGCAATTTTCTAATAACGTTTCACTACTAGGCCCCAAATAGTTATGCAATCGATCTCTATTTTTAATAATATGTCGACGACCATATTTACAAGTGTGACAATATAATACTATGCATTGTTCTTGCCATTTTCCAATGACAAAGGCGCGTACTCATGTCTTTTGGCATCATTTTTATTAACAACCAATCACATTCTACAACATATTGCCATTTTTCAAGCTAGCTTTATAATTGATTCAATATTATATAATTCTATTAAGTCTATTTATGTTATTTATGGGTTCGAATGACTACAATTATTTGTGTTGTTTTTCTGATTAACCAATCAACTAAAGCATTAGAATAGCCAGAATTTGTTAATACACAAATATCAGAAATCATGAAATTTAATCTTCATTAGGAAAGCTACCAGGAGTTGGAATAACTGTTAAAGATTTACGTTGTATTTTATAATTACCAGGAGTTGGGATATATGATAAAGATTTACGTCGTTTTTTATATAATAAAAATCCAACAAAAGATAAAATCCCAATTAATACAATTGCACCTGCACCAATGCCAATTCCAATAAATATTCCATTATTTGCTGTGGAGTTTGGAGTTATATATGTCTGGTTTGTTTGAGGTTCTTTACTTGTTGTATTAGCACCCTGTCCTGTATTTAGCCCACTAACCCAGGTGTAATTTTTTATGTCAAAAATATAAACTTCACGACTAAGTGTCGACAAAGTTGTAATTCGACCTGAGAATATAAATATTAAATGTGATTTTTTTTTAAAATTAATAATATTTAGTAACACAATAAATTTTATAATACTGTTAGTGTTAAAGTTTGGAATCGATTTTATTTTTCATATGTCAAAACCGGTTTTAATTGGTTATAACATATAAAAAATAAACCAGTTCCGAATTCTAGTTAATGTTGACATGTATCAATCATTGGATAATCCTGACCTGATCTGTATGATCTGTAAATTATCGATCAACCAATGATTTGACCTACTCTAAATTGTATACGTAATAATTACCAAATGCTAAAACCATATAGGTATTATATAATACTGCAGAATGGAATGTAAGAGGTGGTGGTGCATTTGTTTGAGGAATATTTGGAATAGACCATGTCCAAGTAGTAGTATTTAGCACTGCAAGATCAGGACTCACTCGCGGGCCTGTATCATTATCACTTGAACCTCCATATATTATAATATTTCCATCTTGAGCTAATAAAGAAAGTAAAAATTACCGATTATTTAAAGGATAATATTATCACATACTGAAGACTTACTTAATACAGCTGAATGTCCTACGCGGCCTTCAATATATTCACCGCTAACTGCCTAGATTAGTTAAAATATTCACTTAATAATTAATTATAATCATCACTAACTTCCTATATTAATTAAAAATATTCACTCAATAATTAACTATTTATATACATACTTTAGTGGACCAGCTTAAAGAATTCGTATCAAATGCTGGAATCTAAATTGTTTCAATGAAATAAAGTACCAAAAGTTAAATTTATAGGACAAAGATAAAAATAATATAAAAATAAGAAAAATCGAGTATACCATACCAAACTCATATCTACAAGTATGCCTTTCCCACCAATATATAAAATAAGTCCATTTGGTAATAATGTAGCAGTATAATCAAAACGAGGAACAGGAATATTCTGAGTTATAGGTAGAGTTGACCATTTCATGGTAGTAATATCGAGTACATTCATATCATTAAATGAAAGTGATAGATTATTTCTTCCGCTAAAAATAAAAATTTTTCCATTGCTATTAATAATAGCTTGTATTTCACTACGTGAAATGAATGAATTATTAAGTCCAATTATATTTGGAACCGTCCATAATGAATTCTTTGAATTAAATGCGTATACTGATGAAGAATAGTTATTGGTATTAAAATATTGATCAAACATTTTTCCACCAACTAAATAAACCGTAGAGTTGTCAATAGTGCTGACACATGCACTACCAAGACTATAACCTATTGGTATTTCAACATCATTATACCATTGGGGTGTAGACGCACTAAATGAACTCGATAAATCAAGATACCATACATCATTTCTGACAGAAGAATATATAGATTCCCAACCACCAAAGAAATAATATTTATTTCCAATTAGAGCACTAGCTTGTTCATATCGTGGTGAAGGGACACTTTGACAAATTATAAAAGAAAAAAATAAACTTAATATTAAAAAAAAATAAATCTTTTGAAAAATATTCATATTGAAAATGTACTGTAAAATTATTTAATAAAAAAGAAATAGAATTCGGACGTAAATGCTTTTAATTTATTTTGTGATTCATAATTGGATACAAGAGAATTTGGATATGTTCCACACTAAATGTGTATATTAAAAATTGTTGATTGTATTACTAATAAAGAAAAATTTTTCATACTGATGATAAAAACAGTAGCTACCAATTAAGTGACAAATAATTCTGCTAATATTCTATAAATTTTTTTTAGAGAAGTTACTATGTAGAATTACCGTGAGAAGCACATAAAGCCATATAGGTGTCAAATTTTGCCTATTCTGTAACATAATTTCAAAATTTTTGATAGTTAATTTTCGTATAACTAAGTTAAAATTAATTTTATTTGCTAACGCTAATAAATATACTGTATATATTTTTTATTGCCCGAAGGACATTACGGTAGAGGCACAGTTTGTGTCGATATTAACTAAGTTTATATTAATACTTTGAAAGAAATAATCTCAAAATTAAGATTTTTATCTTTCCATATGTAATAAAAAGTATATTACAACAATTAAATGTATAACGATAAGGTGCATGATAATTTTTGATTCTATCTAATTTTATAGCTCAATCCCCAATGATCCTAATAAAGTGTATTAAATTACTAAGTTTAATTGAAAAGTATCCGGATTGAAACAAACCATTTTAAATCACATAATACTATATAATTAGAGTTATTAAAATGATAATGACTTAATTAAATGTGGTTTTTAGTTAAAGTACAATCTATTTCTTAATTTAATATGGTTTATAATCATTAGTCAAGTTTCCAGGTGTTGGAATATATGACATACGTTGACGTCGTATTTTATATAATAAAACCCCGACCAAAGCTGAAATTCCAATCAATAGTATTATACCTGCTCCAATGCCAATTCCAATAAATAATCCATTATTAGACGACGAATCTAGCTGACTTGACTGACTTGGTTGACTTGTTTGAGTTCCTTTACTTGCTGTCGTTGTTTCTTGAACAGTTTTAGAAATTATTGTTGTAATCCATGTATAATTATTTGTATCAAAAATATAAATTTTATTACTAAGTGTTGTAGTTGTAGTTGAAGTCATAATTTGGCCTAAGAATATTAAATATTTTAGTAATATGTTATACGTATACAGGATAATGTGGATTATAAAAAAAAATTAATAATGCAATAATTACCAAATGCGATAATCATATAATTATTATATAATTCAGCAGAATGATATGCGAGTGATGGTGCGGCATTCGTTTGAGAAACATTTGGAGTAGACCACATCCAAGTATTTATATTTAATACTATCATATCAGGAAGTGCTCGTGAGCCCATTATACTATTAACAGCACCTCCATATACAATAATATTTCCATTTTGAACTAATTAAGAAAATTTTTACTGTATAGATTAATGATTACTTAGTACTGTATATATTAACAATAAGGTAAACTTACTTAAACTAGCTGAATGTCCACTGCGTGTTATAAAAAAATCGCCACTACTTATCTAAATAATGCAGTCAAATAAAAATACTTCTTAATTGTTAATTAATTAATATTATTTACTGTATACACATACTGTATATACATACTTTAGTAGACCAACTTAAAGATTTCGTGTCAAATATTTTAATCTAAATTATTTTTAATAAAAAAAAAAGTTAAATATTAAGAATGAAAAATGAATAAATAAAAAAACTAAGTCATACTTCGCTCATATTAGACACACGGTATCCACCAATATAAATAATAATGCCAGTTGGTAATAATGCAGATGCATAGTCATAGCTAGCGTAAATATTCTGGGGGGTATTCAGTGTTGACCAACTCATAGTGATAATATCAAGTATATTTGTTTGATTATATTCAGTCGTTGCTATTGAAGATGCTACTGTAGTATAATTCGCATTAGTGGATGTATATGTTGTAAAACTAACTCCACCAAAAATAAAAATTTTCCCAGCATTATTAATGACTGCTGTAATTTCATTACGAGAAGCGAAAGAACTGTTAAACCCGGCTATATTGGGGGTTGTCCATTGAGAATTCGTAGAATTAAATACATATACGGATGAAGAATAGTTAGAAGTACTTGTATATGGATTAACCATAGTTCCACCAATAATGAAAGCGCTGGAATTGTCAATAGTACTAACACATGAACTACCATAACTATATCCTACTGGCATTCCAACATCATTATGCCATGTAGGTGCAGTTGTGTTAAATGAACTTGATAAATCAAGGTACCATACTTCATTATTAATCACTCTATTTGTAGTCTGCCCACCAAAGAAATAGAGTCTATTATCTATTAGAGCGCTAGATTGTTGGTATCTTGGATTAGGAGCATTTTGACAATATACAAAAAAAAGCACAAAAATTAATATAAAAAGAAAATCTAGAAAAATATTTTTTAAAAAATTCATATTAAATGTATTAAAGTTTTTTTTTATGCTATAGAAGAGCAGACCGGATTCTAATGCAAATATTGTTAGCCTTTAATATTTTAAATTATTATACTTAACAGAATATAATGGCTGACTTGGATGTAGTACTCATGTAGTGCCAGTCCTACTAGTTTAAACCTCAGGTCACTTAATCAATAAAACATACTTGAAAGAATTGAATTTAATCTTCTAAAGATCACAATGCTTATTACTTTTTTCACTATCAAATATCAAAGTGGCAGATATCAGCAACAGTTGATTATAGTGAAAAACAATGAGGCATTTTTCTTAGTATAATTAATATAAGGTATTTCAGAATTTTATTTATTTATGATTTAGATCCGTAAAATTGCTACTTTTATTCAAGAAATTTGTTTGCATACATTTTTTTTTTTATACGTATTGACACGAAGTTGAACCTGAAGAACGCAAATCTATTGTAATTTCTATAAGGAACATTCTGTATACGACAAATATGTAAACATTGTACTTGAAATTAAATAAAAGATCATCTTAATTGGTTCGCATAGAAGCCGTATGCCTCTTTTTGATGGAATATTTGAAATAAATAGTATTACGAATCATCCGTAACATTTTCATGATGTGGTAAAAACTTTACAGTTAAAATATCGGAACAGGTCGTAACACAACTAAGTTACAACCAACCACAACTTGTCATTTTAAATTAAGTAACATGCACATTTACTATAGTTGTGCCACATCATAACTTTTTATACGATGTAATACGATGTCACAACTTGTATATGATTTTATTTTTTTTCTTTTTAAGGATGCCCTTGAGCACTTTTATATAATTTAATTGTCATGTATCAAAAGGCAATATTGCCATAGGAAGACTTTCTATGATTGGCAGTTTAAATCAATTTAATTCTACATTATTTATACAGTTTAAAGTACTTTTTAAAAAAAAAGAGAACTACAAAGAATAAACAAGAAAGAAGTATATAGAAAGTTTTAATAGGTTTGTAGAACTCCACTATTAAAAAGTATCTAAATCCCTTTTTGTTTTAGAGAAGTTAGCATGGTGATAACCTATCTTTAAAAAGTCGCTATTATGCTAACTTCTCTAAAACAAAAAGGGATTTAGATACTTTTTAATAGTGGAGTCCTATAACCCTAATAAAACTTTCCATATACTTTTTTTTTGTTTATATATTCTGAGTAGTTTTCTTTTTTTTAAAAAGTACTTTAAACTGTATAAATAATGTAAAATTAAATTGATTTATACAGCCAATCATACGAAAGTCTTCCTATGAGCTCAGGCATGAGGGGAAATTTAAACAAACATAGTCCCAAGAATATTTGATCAAATCTCATTAGTTAACATTAATCACATGATTAATGAAATTTATACTGCGTTGTGATTGGCTTAAGCGAGGTTAATATAAAATTAATTTCACCAATTTCACAGTAACTTAGTTTGTAACTAAGTTTTAATGCGGTACGTGCGTACGTCCTATATCAGATATCTGATATTTTAAGTTTCTACGTACTGCATCTCTAGTCGAACTAGGCTATTGACCCTGTGACTTTATCTTATCTTTCCTTTTGTGATTTGTCATTTAATTAAGTCGATTATTCAATATAAAAACTTTTTTGTCACACAAAATTACTTAATCAGATCTTACGTATCATAGTACTTTTTGGAATTATTTCTCTAATTAGGCTAGGCACGGGAATCGGACATATTTCATCTTTGTTTGCATATCCATTAACGGTAATATACGTATTCATAAATAGGTATCATATTACTGTATTATTTAAGAATTATTATATTTTCACCGAGTCACTCTCCAATATATTTTCACCCGAGAGATTAGTAATATTAGGGTGGGGTGACCCGGGTGAAAAATGAATTATTTAATCTATTATAAAAAAAAAAAATGTTGATTTATGATAACGACTCATTTTGATTAATGACACCTTATACCGATACCGGCATTTTTGACAAATTACTTCGGAGCTTTCGCCTACAAATATTCTTTATTCGTTCATTATTAAAATTAAACCATCTTCCAATAGCATTACTAATTATAATTAATCATAATATTATCAAATGTTAGCGAACTTTACCCAAGGAAATTATTTGACTAAAAAAAAAATTTTTTCCGGATTTTACCTATTTTATCTGACGAAAATGTAAATTTTATAATGTTTAAAAAAAAAAAGATAATTAGGATATAAAAAGTTGGTACGTACGTACGTAGTACCTATTGTAAACATATAGATTATGATATTTTTAAATAAAAATGATCTTATGACATTTTGACATATGACCATTGAGAAAAATGCGACGGAGATTTTCGAATTACAGCAAATCACAACCGCATAATTTTACATATAAATTTTCAGGTACAATAATTTTTACATTTCTTTATTTACAAACTTCTCAATACAGTATTTTATAGCCTACTACACTTTATCACAACTTTATTACATATACATATGTATTAACGCCAAATGATTCGGATATCTCAATTTTTACTGATACACCAGAACAAATAGCGACATAGCTGCAATAATCGTATGATATCGAGTTACACATGCCCTTGCGTGTTTTTACCACCATAGTCACATTTGTTACATTATTTTTCAATAACAAATACGAAATTCTAGATCCTCAAGATTGTGAATTAGGAATACAATAACGAAAAAAATTTATCATTTGATTATTCATTGAGATATACATCAATTATAAAAAAAAAAAAAAAGGTATATAATTAAATCATATATCGATATAAAAAACTTTTTTTTTTTTATTCGATTTTCGATTTTTTTTTTCTTTTTCTTAATTCATATCTATATATATCAACACAAGAATTTTTTCTATTCAAATTTTTTTTTAATGATTTCTTATTTACCTCCAGAGTGTCTTCAAGAAATATTTAATAATCTTGTAGATGATATTCAAACTTTACATTCAATTATATTAGTTAATAAATTATGGTATGAAAATGGAATATCAATTTTATGGAGAAAACCATTTTCTTATGATAATGATTGGAATAATTTATATAAAATAATTCCTATATATTTATATTTTTTATCAAAAGAAACAAAAAATGACCTTGAAATTCATGAAATTTCTATACCAATTAAACCTTCTATTAATTATATATCATTTATTCGTGAATTAGATTTATATAACTTACTTATGCAATTATGTGAATGGATGGTAAAAAGCAAATTTGTAAGTACGATACCTCGAATTTTATCTGAGAATGATGATTTTAATGAAGATGATGATCCTATTATGAGATTAATTTGTCAAGATATAACTGAAAAAGTTTCTTTAAAACGTACAATGCATATTATTAAGGAAATTATTATTAGTATAGTTAATAATTCTATTAAGATTGATCACCTTGAAATTACTATGGGAAATATGGATGGTATCGTTTTTGATTATCTTGATTCGGAATATTTTTTGGATATATTTAATGAAATTCCTTCTATTTGGTTTACAAAAATTTCAAAACTTGAATATGATGGTCAACATTTACTTAAAAAATTTCAAGAAAATGCTTATAATATTAATAGTTTATCATTTGGTTTTCATACTTTTATACCTGATTTGATTCCTTCAATTTCTTCTTTAATTTCAATTCAGAATAATTTGGTGGATTTAGATTTATATTTAGGTTATAATGACAGTGAAATTATTATTTTTGAGATTATATTAACATTAACGACAACTTGTGTACATTCATTAAAATCATTATCATTAGCATCAGGTGGTAGTGGTATAGTACAAAATGTTAAAGAATTAGAAATGTTATCAAGATGTAATCATTTAGAAAGATTACAATTACGAAATGTTGAATTCACAATTTACAACAACAATAATAATTTTTTATTTGAATTTTCAAATTTAATATCTTTAGAATTATTCGATGTTAGAATGGTTAGTCAAAATTCTGAAGAAGATCTCGTTAATTTAATTAAACAAATTATGAAAAATTCAAAATTAATTAGTTTAGATTTGGAACCTTTTATTGGTGATAAATATTGTAATTTAGTCGAATCTATTCCACATTATTGTTCTAATTTAACTGAATTAACTTTGAAGATAAATGACACTTATGAAAATACCATAATAGCGATATTAACTATTTTACCACTTTTTAATAAACTTAGAATTCTTCGTATAACGGAAGATTGGGGTGGAATTCAATTAGATGGTGATATATATATTAATCAATTATCTTTAATATTACCCAACCAATTACAATTTTTTAATATTACTGGATTACTTTTTTCTGATAAACATTTGAATTTATTTTTGGAAAAATGTTGTTCTAATTTAAAACAAGTAGTTTTATTACTTAAAAATTATGATGAAAAATATGAACAAATTATCAAATCATATTCATTAGAAAGAAATAAGATTATTGAAGATATTTTTGTTTCTATTGATAGTAGGTCTGAGATTACTATTAATTGGAAATGATTTATTTTATTCTTCTTAATTCTGTAGTTTAAAGATGTTATTTCATATATATACTGTAATAATTTGTAATAATGTACGCATTAGGGAAATATTTTTAAAATATTGTGGTAGCTCGAATTGAAATTCTGTATTTAAATTTCTTATCTATAAAGAAAAAATATTGGTTTACTTTTTGTTGTAATTAGTCTAATAAATATTTAACGAATTAAATACAGTATACCGATACAAAGTAACTATTTCATGTTAAAAAAAAAAAATGAAAAAAATATATATTTGATACTGTATGTTTATTTGAATAAATGTACTTGCATACGTAGGTACTTATGGACTTATGTTCTACTTATGTTCTACTTATGTTCTACTTATGTTCTACTTATGTTCTACTTATGTTCTACTTATGTTTTACTTATGTTCTACTTATGTTTTACTTATGTTCGTAGATGTCCCAGTAAAGTCTAAAAGAACGGAAGTACTATCGTTTTTCATTACACCAAAATTATTTAATTCGGAAATTCGGACTTCTATTAAGACACCACGTGATGCTACGTACGTACGATTTTGTTAATCTTCCTAATCTCATTGTTTTTGATTTCAGCACTACGTATCCCATACACCCTGTACGTGCTTGGTTATCTAAAATTATAAAGTGATGAGAAATTCTGCAATGTAGAGAGGGCGGGGCCGAATCTTAAAGAGGGATAGGCTTACCGGAAATGTTGTAAACTTGTTACGGAACAAAGCGCGCGGCAATTCTTTTTTTTTTTAGCAATGTATATCAAGAACTATAATTATATAAATTTAAACTTCATCTTTTCAATCTATCGCTATTACAGTATTTTCAGGAAATGATTTTCAAAATCCTGAATGAGTTTTTCTCAGGAAGCCACGCACGACCTTAGCTGAATATATTCCTAAAATGATCAAACCCTTGCCTTTCTAGAACTGAAATGTACATTATATGTTCGTGTATATCAATATCAGATATATACAGTATACGTATACGCTGTATGTGCCTTTGAATATCTATTAATAGTTAGTAACACTAAGGATTTACTTAAAAAATAATTAACGCCTTGTTTGTTACACCTTACCATGCTTATAACAACTACAATATAAAAATACATTTTGTTTTAAAATAATGTCATCTTTCACTCAATAATTTTAAGATATGAAATGCTTTGACATGTCGATCAAATTTTTAATTTTTCTCCCAATATTTGTCGCATTCATATATACACTCCCAATTCCACAACAATCATTGCCACCGATTGAAGAACTAACTTTGAGTCCAAATGCGACATGTTATAATGTTGGTCAAAATGTTACTGCTAGATGGAATAATGAGCCTAACGTTTCAAGTAATAATTATCAAATGTATATTCAATGTTAATTTTGATTTTAACAAAATTATATATACCTTTTTTTTATAATAACAGGTATGAATGTCACAGTAACGATAGCGGGAGTAACGTCTAATACAATCTACTACACTTTTACTGTTGTAAGTTTTTACAATAATTTTTTGATTTATTGTCCGATTATTACTTATGATAATTAATGATAATTAATGATAACTAATGATAATTATTATTATATTATTATTTTTTTTTTTAAAAAAAAAAAACAAAGCCATGGTCGACACAATCAATAACTTTTTCAATAATATCACAAATGTCATCCGAAGCGCTTTGTAAAGCTTCGCTTGCATATGCAAACAATCCCACTTTCTTGCTTGGTGTTACACCTTTTTCCATTTGCAAAGCTTAATAATTCGTTTTTTTTTTAATTACGAAAAAGAAAACCTTAATGTAATATATTACATTTTAATTAACCATTTTTTATTGTTGAAAATTGCAATTAACATGTAGGGCCTTCCAATAAATTCAATTTTCAATACCTTCCAATCATTAATATGTTTATTAGAAAGCATAATTTGTATAAACAATTAATTTTGATTGATTAAAAATAAAGAGTCTTCAATATAAAAAAAAATTTCAATTATCAATTATCCAATGTTTTTATTAGAATTAAAGCAAAAACTTAGAAAATATGTACGTACTGGGATCGGATGATCATCCGGAAAGGGTATTACAAAAATGTGTATGTACGTATGTAGTATACCAGGCTTTACTTATTTGTGCCGGTAATACAAACCAAAAAAGGAAACGGAATAAATTTGAAATTTATTAAATATTAGGGTTAGCGTTAGGATCAGGTTAGGGTTAGAGAGTGCTATAGGTAAAATTACCTCCCCGACATTTTTTGTTAATGCACAATAGATTTAGATTACCGTTTCTTGTATTTTCTTTATTTTTCTCTTTTTTTCGTTTGTTTTGCTTCGTCGGGATGATCCGGATTCTATGCCGGGCTGATCCGGAATACCCAAAATTTGTGTTCTCTGATTGGCCGTTTCCTTTTTAGGGGTTTGTATTACCGGCACAAATAAGTAAAGCCCCCCATGCACTGTGTGCTCCTTACTATAAAAATTGCCAATATCTCGAAATTTTACTAAGGTAACCCTGTTGTGTAACTAATAAAAAATGTTCTCGCAATTTTAGCCTAAAAAAACTCTAGCCCTAACCCTAATGTTAGCCTTCATCTTTGTTCGCTATCAAAACTTGGGGCACCATTTAGATTTTTCTATTAAATGAATTAAATAATGCTAAAATATTACTTTTTTAAATAATAAAATTAATTTTTTTAAATATATATTGTTTAATTTTAATACTAATTTAAAATGTATTTTGCAAATACTACATCTAATGATAAATCTTTAGATATCAAGCTTATTCTTAAATAATTTTATACTATAAACTTTTAAACCAAAACTAAATTAACAATTATTGTCGAGGATGATGCTGAAATTGGTTGATCTGAGGTTCCGTTAAGGGTAAGTTTATTTAAAGTCTCAAGAATAGAATTTGCCTCTGGACGAGTGTTAGGATCCTTATCCCAACATTGTTTAAAAAGGTCAATATATTGAGAAGGAGTGCCTTCTACCGATACTTCTCTATTTCCTTGAGTGATGTGATTAGCAAGTGAATTCTCAGGAATAGATTGGAATGGTATCTTTCCACTCGAAATTTCCCAAAGGATTACGCCTAAACTATAGACATCAGATTTCTTATCAAATTTATAATTTTGGTCAATAAGACATTGAGGTTCGATATAGGCCAGTATTCCACGAGAATTTAAATTTGAAGAAAACTGTTTTGCCAAACCAAAGTCAGCAATAATTGGCTGCTCTTTATTAATCAAAATATTTTTTGAATGCTATTGAATAATATTGAATAATATAAATTATTAATAAGAAATTTTTTATTATTATACAATAGTATAATTTACGATATTACTTACAAGATTTCGGTGAATAAGATTATTATCATGTAAAAATGAGAGGCCATATGCTATCTCTTTAGCAATATGTAGTTTATTTTTCCATTCAAGTTTTATAAAGTTTTTACTCAAATATTCTTGTAAATTTCCATTATCAGCATACTGTAAAACCATATTAAAATAACCATCATTGTCTATTAATTTATAATAAGTATTTAGGATTAATAAAATTATATATTTTTATACCAAGAAAAAAAAAAAAGAATACCTTTCGTGACTCCATAGAATGTGATAATGTTTTTATTTGAGCTAAAACTTTGTAATAATTTAAGCTTTTATTACATGAAATATTAACGTATAATTAATATATAAATTTAACATATAATTTAATAAATGTATAATACATTCATTCTCAAAGTAGATTAAAGATTAATGAATTGTACCTCATTAATGAGTTCATGATTAATCTCTATATCTGAATTTGAATCGATTTTAAGGCGCTTAAGGGCTACGGTTAATTCAGAGTCTTTCCATTCATATTTGGAGACCTCACCAAAATTTCCCGTACCAATTACTTCATGATTTGTAAACTTATTATACTCAATATAATTTAGCTCTTTATCAGAAGTAGCTTTTTCAATCAAATCTTTTAGAGCATTTGCCATTTTACTAAAAACATTAACTTGTTATTAGTATTCAATGATAGTCTAGAATACGTGCGTAATGCGTTGTTAGACTTAGTTTACCTCTC